TGCCTCTCCCCCCAAACCCTGCCCTACCTCCCTCCCCACCTCCCGTTCCCCCCGAGAACATGACCTCACTCGACCATCCTAGCCCACAGCCACTATACTTACGTCATAGTAAGGGGAATCACTATCACACATAAGGCAACATCTCAAACCAGAAGAAGACAAGTTGCAACTACAAGCACACTAATACGGTGAATAAACTAATACAAACTAAGATGATAACAATTTAACTTACACAACAAAGAAAAACTGGAAAACGGGAGGTACCAACTCTTGCGAGTAGAACCTTGGAATTATCTTTGATAAAAGGGTAAAAGGCAGCTGACCCAATATTAACAAATAGCAAATTCTAAGCAAGAATAATAGAACCCGAAGTCACAACGAGTTTCGAGAAAGGTGTTGTCCATAGCAGCTATGTTTTGGAAGTTCTCGCCCGCTTCGCCCGAGGCTCGTTGGAAAATTATCTCAGCCGCCGCCACCGCCGCTAGGCTAGGTTAGTGCGCCAAAAAATAGAGGGACATAGGGTGGAAGAGACGAGGTATAGGGGGGAGAAAGAAAGGAGAAGAAGAAAAGGAAAATATANAGAGATCAGAGAGAGACTTTGTTTGCTCAGAAGATATATTTAAATGTTGATAAAAAATATTAAAGTTACAAAATCTTAAATACCAAGAGAATATCATTATCCTTTAAAACAAACTAAAAAAAGTGTGACACATAAATGGAATCAAAAGAGTTAAATTTCCTGTAATTTACAATAATTTGTTTTTAGAGAAGATAGTTGAATAAGACAGGCGTTTCAAGTACAAAATAAATTACACAACCAAATGAGGTACTCCAATATTTGGAGATTCAAATAAAGATTTAACTATAAATTTTATATGTGACTTATATTAATTAATATATTTATATATATACTACATTAAAATCACAAAACCCCCCTTAGCGAAATGTCGTTCGCCTTTTTTACTCAATAAAAATAGGTTTTACTTGGACAAAATTATAATTTAAATTATTTTCTTAATATTCCGGACTTCAGAGTCAACTAAATTTTTGATTATTGTTAATCAAAACATAAAAAAAGAAATAATTTTTTTTTTTGATTATTAAATATTTTCAATTTGAAATAGGTAGAAAGTTCTAAACATTAGGACTTTAAAATCAATAAATTCTTTTCTCAGTTGAATTGTTAACATGTTACACCTTATTGCTATTTATTTTCTTAACAAGAAATTAAGTTGTAGATGGGCTTAAAAATTTTAAGCAGTTTTTAACTTGTGGAAGTGTTTGACAATCAAAAAATGGGCTTAAAAAAAGTTAAAATCTACTTAAAAAAGGCCAAAATTAATAAGTTGAAAAACCCAACTTTTTCTAAATTGGCTTAAAAGCCATATTGCTTTGACCAAGGATATTACATTCTTATCCTTTATAATTTTTCTTAATCCCGAAATTACCCCTAAGTAAAAACCCTACAACATACAATTTTTTTTCTCCATTGTTCAATATTTGTCAATTTCTTGAAGTTCTTAACGTGAAGCAAACAATAGTTTTTTAAATAATGTTTGATACATTCCAATATTTTATAAAAATTATTCTTTTGACTTCTTTTTTTGTTCCATAACATTTAATATTTTTGGTCGTTGAATCCTTCCCTTTTTTTAATTGGTGTAACTATATTATAAAATCAAATCATTCAATGAATTTACGTGTTACCCCTGAATTTGAAGCTATGAACGGAAAGTATAATATTATAGTCATCATCTTCTTTATAATGTTAACAACTTTAAGGATATTTCAGTTATTTTAACAAGAAAAAGTGCTTACCAGCACTTGTTTACCAAACACTTCATCAACTTGTTTTAAGTTTCAGCACTTTTATCCAAACACGTAACTGCTTATTTATAAAATAAGTTCCAGTACTTATAAAGTGCTTTTAAGCACTTAACTTAAAAGTCACTTTTTTTAAAGACAATCCAAACGGGCCCTAAGTTGTTCAAACTAAACCAGACAAAGTTAAGAAAATAACTTGTGAAATTGAAGTAATGAAGTACTAAAATTGAAATAAATATTAAGTTAGATATATTGATTGAAACTGAGAACTTCTATTATGAAGAATTTCTTAATTTATTGATTAATTAGCTAAATATGATCAACAATTATCATTTCAAAAAATTTTAAGCACTTTTTTGTTTAAATTTTATTTTATAGCTCAAAATTACTTTTTAATATAAAATGTATGTAACTCTCAAAAATATTATAGTTATTGAGATAAGATACATGTGCAACGCGTAATTTATTTATAAATATGTAAATAGTGTTTAATCTTTTATTTTTCTGAAACGGGGAGTTTTATTTGCAGCCATTTTATGATTTTTTATTTTATTTCGTATGACGTGTAAACGAGCCATTGGTTAATGTCGTCTGTTTTGTTCAACTGTAAGATAGTCTACGGTTAAAAACCCGGATCCCCCATTTCACCCTCTTCAGTAAACTCGTACGCCGAGGGAGATCGAGAGATCTGTAATTCGACTTCGCTGCTTTCCCCATATAAATATAATCAGATTCATTCTGTTATTCACACAACGATCTCACTTTTTTTCCGGTTACATTCTGATCGACTAGGTTTCACTTTTTTTTTTTTTTCCTGAATCCTTACAGATCTCTGCTGTAGCTTCAGAATGGCTCAGCCTCTGGTGAAGAAGGACGATGATCGCGATGACGAAAGTATGTTTTTTTTTAATTCCCGTTTCCGCTGTGTTTACGTTGATTAGAGAACGAGCTTAATTTTCTCGGTTGTTTTGAATTTAATTGATTCGATTGTACTTTTGCCTGTGTATAGATCTGCATTTTGGTTTAGATTCTAAATTAGCGTTTATTTGGCTAAGTGAATCTGAAAAAAATTACGGTCGATTTCTTATGAATCAGCTTTTGCTACTAGCTGTTTTTTTCCCAACTTTCTTTTCATAACTACTTCTCCGTTGTGCAATGTGTATTTCAGTCATATATCGCTATTAGGAATATTTAGTGGTGTAGTGTGTGTAACTGTGTAGTGGAATGATGTCGGGAAAGTTAATTTGCTCAGATTATTATTGTTTAGTTTTACACTGTAGAAATGATCAGTTTCTGCCTAGATCTAGGTACATTAGGATTGAATGTGTATTTAGTGGTGAAATGGCATTTTCATGTTGAATTTCTATGACAAAACAGTGGACTATTCCCCATTTCTGGGGATTGAGAAGGGTGCTGTTCTTCAGGAAGCTAGGGTTTTCAATGATCCTCAACTGGATGCACGGAGATGCTCACAGGTATGTTGTTTTGGTCTTCTTTTTTTTAAAAAAATTCTGACATGCAAAAGTAAATTAACTTCATTTCTGTTTTGTGGCATTTTAAATTGGTTGGACTTGAGTTTTATTTTTGGGTGCTTTTTGGGTGTTTCAGGTCATTACAAAGCTTCTGTATCTTCTGAATCAGGGAGAGTCGTTTACAAAGGTTAGCTCTGAAGCTATTAGTTTTAGCAGTAAATCATCGTTCCATTTTTTTGCAAATTGTACAATGAAACATCACAAATTAAATGCCAAAACCGCCATTTAAAGAGGTGAAAGAAAACAAGGAAGAAATAGAGAGATGTGTGACGTCAGCTATCAGAGTATAACATTATATTTTATGAGAAAAAGTAAAATTCGAAGATAAGGATCATATATGATAAGTGACTCAGTGACAAGCATAGTTTACTGTTTTTGCACGATGAAGGGCATTATCTTTCATGAATTCTACTCAACTTTGTACTTCAGGGAACAATTTTTGTTTTCTCTGGATTTATGTGGCCATACATAGAATTGGTATTAGCTGATTATGTCTCTTGTCTGTAGATCATATCATCTGTTATTTACCTTATCAAAAAATAAAATCATAAAATGGATAATATCACTTGCTAATGCCTGTCTACTTAAGAGTGAAAGAATAGTTCTCAATAATGCAATACATATAGACATATAGTAACGTATGATAGTTTTTTTCCAGTTAAATGATTGTTTCTGTACTTTTCCTTAGACATCCAGTCTGTTATCATCTTGAACTATTTTCACAGTGTGCAATGAGCTTCTCTAGACACTGTCTAGCAGTTAAAAAAAATTGGAATTCATACATTTGGCTAGTCAAAAGAGAATTTTTATACATAGTAAAGTTAATTAGTCAAATTGGATTGAAAACCTACTAAAAAAAAACTGACCAATATGTGCAACAGATCAAAGAGAGGTTCCCTCCCTTGAAGTATTTCCCTTTCTTTACTTTGTTTTAGTGTCCATATTTTAGAACCATACCCATTTCAGTGCTGTGCAATGTTTCTTTTTTATTATTACTGGAGCCATTTGCTAGTTGTGTAAATTCCTGTTTTTGTAGATATTTCTGTCACGTCCATGCTATGGCTCTTGAACAGTTCTCTTTATCCCCTCTTAAATTTACAAACTGAAGCAATCTAAATATTCTTGTCTTCTCTACAGTACAGAGATCTTTTTACGTCACTTTGATGACATTCTCTCTCTCTCTCTCTCTCTCTCTCTCTCTCTCTCTCTCTCTCTC